TATATTCCATATTTATTTGAAAACCGAGAAGTTTCTACTAGCGAAGAAGCTGTCGTGGGAACCGGATTTCAAAAGGTGGATACGTTTAGAGGGAAGACACTTGGATTCCTAAAGCGAGTAACCACAAGTACGAGAAGTGAAGTTACCAATTCGGAAACCGATTTCCTCAATCCATCTACGATTTTGAAGGAGTTCAAGTTTAACGGTAAATATTGTATTTACTATCAAACAAATCAAAATTTGTATTATTATATGTTTTTAAAGATGACGATCTGTTAATTCGCCATATGTATGTACGAGTTATGTATTTAATTGTTAAATACATGTTTTAAAAAAATTTTAAATTCCAATGTGTATAGCTCGTACGGTACAGGCGAACCCAACAATAACGTTATGGAAGAAACACGATCCTACGTGGTAGATTTAGAGGCAAGAACATGTGAGTGTCGTGTGTTTGAAACAGATCTACTACTTTGCTTACATGCATCTACGGCCATTCGGTAATGTTTACCAAAGAACATTATCGTTTTTTTCTTTAAAAAAAATTGTTATATCCTAATATGATGTGCAAATTTATGATATGTAACAGGGAAGTCGGGTTAGATATAATGGATTTCGTTAATGACCATTGCAAAACTTACTCAGTTGCAAATATGTACCGAAGCACCATTAATCACGTCCCGCATCCGGATAAATTGTACTTGCCCCCGGAAATTATGAGTATAAAGGTAATTCCGCCAAATGATCCCAAACAAGTAGGACGGCCACGGACTCAATGTTATTCCGCTAGAGAAAGATCATCACATCGAGTACATAGTCAGCAAATGTGCTCTCCGTGCGGGGTCACCGGGCATAACAGGGCGAAGTGCCCTCTATACGATGGTGTTAATTACTTTTTTCAAATGAAGAAGGTCAAAATGCTCCAACTATTCATCTAATAACAACATCGAGATGCCTGAGGAGATGTCGTACTTGTAAAGAAACATGTCACAAATCGTCATCTAATCCATCACGTCCATTCCATGACAATTTAGGTGAAGATGGAGACGTTATGTAATGTTATGTACCTCATTCGAGTTTTTAATTGTAATGCAATTTAACGGAAACATTACTTTTAACGGGAAAAATATTGTGTTGGTACCCTAGGTTGTGACCTACACACGATTTACTGATATTGAAACTAGGTTGATTGCGCGATTCGCATAATATGTCCCATAATAATCGCACAATTGAGTTGATTGTGCGATTACCATATCATATCCCATAATAACCGCACAACTGGGTTGATTCGCAGGTTCATTCGTCTAGTCTTCAACCACATAATTAAGGAATCGCAATCCAAATTGAAAGTCGCATATAGACATGACCACGGGTCGAACCGAACCCGCGAACCGGCCCAGACCCGGCCCGGACCGGCCCGGACCCGGCCCATTAGATCCGGTTTTTTAACCGGAACCGGCCATGTGGAGGGCCGGTCCCGGGCCTGTTATTTCCGAAAAAAACCCGCCGGTCCGGGCCGGGTTTCGGGCCGGGTTCACGGGTTTTTGCACATCCGGTTTTCGCACATCCGAGTTCGCGGGTCCGAACCCGGCTCAACCCGCCGGGTTTTTGACCCGGCGGGTTAGGGCCGGGTTTTCGAACCGGCCCTTAGTTACCCCCGGGCCGGGCCCGGTTCAGCATAAGCCAACCCGTCGACCCGGCGGGCCGGGCCGAGTTTTGACCCGGCCCGGCAAATGGCCATGTCTAGTCGCATAATTTACGACTATCCACTATTTTTTTTTTCGCATATCCATATGGACCGCATTGATTGGTTGTCTGCACCGCATATCCAAATCGAAGTGCTTTGCATATCATTCCCATAAGTTACGCACCGCATTGAATTATTGTTTGCTTTTATACGTAAAAAACTATGACGATTTCGATTTGCATGCTTCCTCATCGTGTTGATATAACTACCTAGCTTTAAATGCTAGTTGCATTTATTAACCGTTCATTCTCTTTGTTGAATAATTAACCTCCCTATCTTTCGATCGCAGAAAAAAAAAAAACCAAGGAGGCGCACGTTTGCAAAAAAAAAGGAAAGGATTTCGCCCTATGGAAAGATCGCGATCCGCTTCCGAGGCATGGACTGGACAGAGGATGAGGAACGTATTTTCTACCAAGTGTTTTTCAAAAAGTGCCATCAGAAGGCAGACATACACCAAGACCCTGTGTTCAATTCCTTGTGGGCAGAAATTTCAATAAGCCTGAACCAATGCCTGAGTTTTAGCATATATCCCATATCCATATGAACCTCGCATAATGTATCAATATGCGAACACATTTTGAATAGTGTTACGCACCACTTTTTTTCACCTTATAGTTTTTTTCAATTTATTATTAATTTAGTTATGCGAACAAGAATTTTCCAAAAATTATTATTTACCAACTCGCGAAAAATATGCGACGTTTGTATGTCGCAATATTATACATCGCAGAATATAACATTTACAAATACAAACATAAAAAAATATATGTTATTCGTTATAGTACGAGTGTTATGGTACGAGTGTTATGCGGTTTTTATGCAGAATTGTTTCGAGTAATAATCCAGGTTCATTCGCCTAATAATCGCAGGTTCATTAGTAATTTAGTCACATACCAAGAACTTTCCAAAAATTAAATTTATAAAATTAATTATTTACCGACTCGGGGACATATGCGACGTTTGTATGTAGCAATTTTGTACGTCGCAAAATAAAAAATTTACAAAAACAAACATAAAAATATATATTATTCATTATAGTACGAGTGTTATGCGGATTTTATGCGGAATTGTTTGAGTAATAATCGCAAGTTCATTCGCCTAATAGTAGTATTCAATTTATTAATACAGATCAAGAACTTTATAAAAATTAATTCTATAAAATTCATGATTTACCAACTAGGGGACTAATATGCAACGTTTTTATGTCGAAATTTCGTATGTCGCAGAATAGAAAATTTACAAAAACAAACATAAACAAAATATATTTTATTCGTTATAGTACGAGTGTTATGTGGAATTGCTTCGAAGTAATATTGCAGGTTCATTCGCCTAATAGTAGTCTTCAATTTATATTTTATTCAGAGACAAAGAACTTTCCAAAAAATGAATTTTATAAAATTAATTACGCACCAATTCAGCTAATAATATGCGACGTATGTATGTCACAATTTTACATCGACTTAACTACTTTACATCGACTAATATTTTATAAAATAAATTATGCATCAATTCGGCGAATAATATGCGACGTATGTATGTCGCAATTTTACATCGACTCAACTACTACTTTACCCGGTGCTTTGTTTTCACTGTGAATTACACTTGGAGAGGTCAAGTTCGTCACTATTTCCTTACCTTCTTCGTCATCGGAAAGCTTACTGCCTTTGTAGCTTTTACAGGCCTTTGTTGGCTGAGCATGAGCAGCAGAATTGGGCTGAGGAGTCTGGGGGGTCTTTATAGAGGAAGTCTGAGGTTTTTTCGCCATTGTTTGTGAAAAAGTGTACTTTTAGAGTTGATGACGCTCAACTAGTGTTAGAACATGGTTTATGATTAACTACGACAGCCAGTTGAACAACAGGTTGAAGGATCAGAAGCAATTGGATGTGTGTGCCGAAGGTTGAGGAAAATGGGGAACTAGGTAAGTTGATGGGATCGGTCTGCGAGTTGAACGAATTCGCCATCCCTTGCTTGACTTTAAATCTCCGTTTTCCCATCTGTCTGCGAGTGGGTTTTGTACAGAGGTTGAAGGAAATGGAAAACGAGATTTATATCACTGGTTTGACTTTCGATAAATATTTTAATGTCTCAATCTAGTATACCCCAGAAGACCAAGCACCTTTGTCTTTCAAGGCGTGCCCCCTTTNCCTCGTAGGCGTCTCAATCTAGTATACCCAGGAAGACCAAGCAATTCGCCAGATATTCCACGCCTTCCCAAACACATGGTCGCTTCCAAATTGTTCAGCCTACAATTTTGCAAAGCTCCCAATGTGAGGTGACCATGTGCCTGGGAAGACGTGGGATGTCAAGGGCGAGGTCATGGACTTCCTGGGGATACTAGATTGGGGATCCTACGATGGTGAAAGAGAGCAAGCCCTCAAAGACAATAGAAGGATCAGGACCCTTCTCTCAATTCTTCAACCTTCGATTTCCTCAACCTGTCGTACAACAGTATCTTGAGAATTCTGTTGTAATAAGGCTGGATGAGGAAAACTGAGAGTTGAAGAATTTTTGAGAAAATGGTCCTGATCCTAATCAGTTGTTTCTTCTCAACTGCCTTTATAGAAGACTCAGGAAGATATCTATCCCCCTTGATATGCGTGACGTTATTATGCGCCGAAGACTTAGGGGACATTTCGGAGCGACTCTTCAATTTCGTAGAACTACGACCAAATTGCGATGAATCGCACTTCATTCGCCTAACGTAATGACAATAAATGATTTCGCATATCTGGTTAAAGAAGATATACTCAAGAAGATATTTATACTCCTTGATACGCACACCGTTATTATGCGCCGAAAACTGAGGGGACATTTCGGAGAAGACTCTTCAAACTCGCAAAACTACGAACAAAATGCGATGAATCACACTTCATTCGCATAACGTAATGATAATAAATTGCATTCTATTTCGGAAACTTGGATAAAAAAATATAAGTAAAATATAAATAATTGTTTTTAGTGCACCCGACCTTTTCATTAAAACAACTGTCATTAGTCGAAAAGACGCAACCTTTAATCGCAGAACAACGAACCATGTGAGATAAATAGCATATCATTCGCATACCTAAATTATGGAGGGATAAAATCCTGCCCAATGAATTGAACATTTTTTAGCAGTGCCACAAGGTTGAAGAAGAGTGA